GAGTTCAGAGCAGTCTGACAGTAAGGGGATAGTTCCTTTGTCTCTCCATTCTGGTTACATACACAGCTTTGCTGTAGTTTTCCACAGATTTTGGTGTTATTCCACTAAATAGAGAAATGCTGGAAGGTGGAATCTAGCTTTGTAATTTATGTGAATATAGCTGAGTCCTAATAGCTAGTGTGTGATCCAGGTCTTAGAAGTGAGTAAGAAGACCTAAGTAATATTTGGTAACTGAAGAGTTAATGGTCAGCTCTCCAGAGCATACTCTTTCATTGAGACTGTTACTACCCTAGGCCTAGAGTCTTTGTAGCATAGGGAAAAGTAGAACAGCAGCACCTCATCTAATCTTGCTTGCATTGGCTTTCAGCTGCTTCTCTAGTTTTGAGTGAAATGGCAGCTCCAACTATCCACACTGGCCTTTTGTGAGGCCTTTACCATTCCTGAGATAGTTGATTATTAATATAGGCTCAGGATTTCAGTACTTGGGAGAATAGTTTCTACCCAGATCAACCAGAGCATAGCTTGTTGTCCCTTTAGGATCTGGCCAGTTGTCAGTGGAAAGAGTTTGTTCCCTCATATGTCTAAAAAGTAACCATGTAATTGATAGGGCATTTGGAATAACTGTGTTCTTGGCCATCCAACTGATCTTGAGCCAACTGTGTACATACTTTGGGCACTGAGTAAAACATACCTGAGGGAGGGACCCCTTTCTAGCACTTTATGATTGGACATGTTAAGGTGTTCTTGGAAGGCCCATTGGAGGTTATGGAAGAAAAGGCCAGCCAGGGAAACCCATCAAAACCCAAAGTTATGTGATGTCTTTTTCTTATGTATATATTACCTCTGTGTCTTTAAAAATTTCAGAAGAGTGAATGTATTCTTATGTAAGATTTAAACAACAAAATACATACAAGGGAACTTCAGAAAGTTCCTGGAAAAATGGAATTGAAAGGTAATATGATTCTTTCCATGAACTTTTTGAAGGACCCTCATATAGAATTCCTTTGAAAATTATTCTTCAGTCCCCATCTTTGTGCCCCCATCTCCTTCCCTCCCTCCCTCCCTCTTTCTCTCTCTCTCTCTTTTTCGCACACACGCACACACATGCATTTGTTCCCCTGTCCCATAGGTGTCCACTGTCAATAATATGGGCTACATTCTTCCAGTCTTCTTTCTATTTATTTACAAAATCATAATAGCTTTTAATGTGAATTAGTTTATATGTTAGCATGTGTGTATGTAAATAAACAGGGTCATTCCATATGTGTTCTATAGCTTGCTTTGTTCTCTGTAATATATCTATATCCTTACTGATAGACATTTAGATTGTTTCTAGTGTTTTATTATTCCAAATAAGGAAGAAGTGGATATACTTGTGCATACATTTTTGTGTACATAAGCAGATAATCTTTTAGATAGATTTCTAGAAACGAAGCTGCTGAATTAAGGATATAAACGCATCAAATTTTGATGGATAGTCCGGGATAACCTTCTAACAAGGCTTCTCCAATTTATACTTGTATGAACAGTACATGAGAATGCCTGTTTCCTTTGTTCTTTTCAAACATATTATTCATATCTTTTTAAAGGCATGGGTGAAAACCTCCTTGATGTAATTGCTATTCTTGAGAGGTTTATAGTTTGCTGAGCATATCTTCCTAGGCTAGGGTTTCTCATCCATTTTTGTTTATAAATGGATAGAGTTAGAATGTTGATGTTTGTCTGAATATTTGGGGGTACTTATGGAGAACTGCACGTTTAAGTGCTTATTTAATTTCACTACTAAGAAAATGTCACTTATTTAATATTTTTTATTGTATCAGGTACTGTGCTACGAGCCTTAATTAGAGATCTCATGTAATTTTCATTAGTAATCTGTTGTTGGGTTGCATATTATCCCAAAACCTGTGGTTTAAAACAACAAACATTTGTTATCTCACAGTTCCTGTGGGTGAGGAATTTGGGAGCATCTTAGAGTGGTACTTGCTAGGATCGCTAAGGTGTTGGCCAGGGTTTCATGATCTGAAGGCTTGACTGGGGCTGGAGGATCCTCACTCACATGGCTTTTGGCTAGAGGTTTCAGTTCTTCCATACATCGGCTTCTTCAACGTAGGGCTGCTGTAGTGTCCTTGCAGTATAGCAGCTAACTTCCATAGAGTGAATGAGCCAAGAGAGAGCAAATAGGAAGGCATTGTGCCTTTTATGACCTAGTTCCTGAAGTTGCCCATTGTAACTTCCACTTTATTCTATTCACTAGAAGCAAGTCACTTAAATCCAGGCCACACTCAAGGGGAAGGGAATCAGTTTCTACCTCTTAAAGGGAGGACTATCAAAGAATTTGTAGACATATTTTTAAACCATCACAAGTCCCTATGAGATGGTTATTGAACAGCTGTTGTTATACCCATTTTACTGATGAAAAAAATAAGTTCACTAATTATCTAGCTTTATCTCCTACCTCCTGGCCTCTGCCCTTTACTCTACTTGGACTAGCCAATATCCATCCCAGACACACAGTGTTCATTCTCAGCCAGGCGTTCATTCAGTAAATCCTTATTGAATGCCTGTCTTTGTGCCAGGTATATTGTGGAAAGTAAAACAGACATAGTCCTTGATAACATGGAGCTTACAGTCTTGTGGAGGAGAGAAACCTTAATCAAATAATCACACAGATAAATAAATCATTGTTTTTATTTGAGAAGTGCTATAAAGTGCTCCTGAGCCTATTCATACTTTTCTTCCCTTTTGACTCCCCAATGCCACTTTCACCCTTCTAACCTAGAAAAAATGCTTGCTTTATTTTTTCTTAAAAATTCTAACTTCTCTACTAGAATCTAATTTGAGTTCAACTTCAGTGAAGTCTGTGCCTTTCAGCTTGCATTAATATCCTTTTCTCAGAACTTCATTCAGTATCACATTTAAGGCTTAATTATTTCTTTAATGTGCCCTCACTCTCTCTCTAAGCTATATTGAAAATTCCTTGAAGTGAGAGATCTAAAAGTTTCTTCAGTGCCTCTCTCTTCCTCACCCCTCACATCCAGTCCCAGCAAATCATGTCATCTCTACTTTTGCTACTACCTCTGCTACTGCTCAAGTCTAAACCACTGTTATCTCTTGCATAGACTACCCAGATGGGCTTCTTACTGGTCTCCCCATTTCCACAGAACAGCCATAGGAATCTTCCTACAAGGTATCTCAAGGCGTGTCTGGCCCTTTCCTGCATCTTTGGCCTCACTTCCTCTCTGTTTCTCTGTCTCTCTCTCTCTCTTTCCCTCCCTACCCCCTTCCTGCCCTCTTAACCCCCCAAACACACACATATTATGTGGTCCTGCCACCTGACCTTCTTTCTGTCCTTTAAATATGCCAAGCTCTTTCTTGTACTGGGGACTTTGCTCTAGAATTCCCTCTGCCCTGACATGTACTTCATCCAATCTTTGTATGATTAATTCCTTCTTATTATTTAGATTTCAGTTTAAATTTCATGTCCTTATAGAGGCCTTCTCTGACCATCCAATCTAAAATACCTACCCAGTTACTCTTATCAAGTTGCCTTGTTTTGATTTTCTTCTAATGCTTCCCACTATCTGATACTTTTCTTATTTGAAATTGTCTTCTTGCACTAAAATGTAAACACTACAAGATTTTTTGACATTTGTCTTGTTCATCACTGGTGTTTGATAGGACTTAAAAAATATTTGTTGGTCTTAAGCCTCTGAATTTATTCCTCCTAAAAGGAAAGGAGAATAGAACCTGAGTTCCCAGGCTCCTCACTGGACTCCCTTGTTGAGACCAAGCTGCTCCTCACTCAGGAGCTCTGTTTAGATTCTTTGCATGATACTTATTACTATCTGATTCTTTTCTTCTTCGTTTTTCTGTCACCTTCTACTAAGATGCAAGCCCCATTAGAACAGAACCTCATGGTCTTGTTTGCCACTGTCTCCGTAGTGCCTGCAGCTGTGCCTGGCACAGAGAAGAGGCTAAATATTTGTTGAAGGAATGAATAGGGAATCAGGTTCTGCTTCATCTTATATCCCGCTGGTGCCTAGTTCAGTGCTTGCCCAGCAACAGGTGCCGAGAAACTTTGGTGGTTAGTCTATGGGGCCACACTGAATATAATTGCTATCAGTAGATCTGTGTTCTCATCATAGAATTTGGAATGGGAAAGCGGTTTGGAACTAAGACTCATTCAAGAGTGTTTTGAGGCACGGTGCAAAGCTTATTAGAATATATCTCTGCAGCCTGAAACTGAGTATTGTACAGGTTCCTCCTGTCCCCATTCAAGAGAGAAATCCAGCTATCTAGAATTCTGCCCTAAATAGCAGAAGTGAAGCCACATTTTATTTTTATTAAAGTCCTATTTTAATACATTCATTGCATCAGTCAGTGAGTCAGTGGGTATTTATTGAGCCATTTAGGGTACAAAGTGGTGCTTTGGTTGAGCTATTGAGTTTAAAATATTAATCACATTATTAAACCAAAACCAAATCCCCAAGTAGTTGAAAGTGCTGTTCAAGTTGTTGGGGTACAGTTCTTATAGACTGTATTTTGTGATGATGGGCTTTTATATGTTCTCATTTGGGCAGGAACAAAAGTTCAGTAAATAACTGAAGTGTTGTATTTCACCAAAATGAAATATTGAAGTGTTCCTTGATCATCCGCTTTCTTGCTGTCCAATGGTTGAAGGATTGTCTGGTAATCACAGCAACTTTTGGGTAATTTAAGATTTTTAGATCTTGTAGCTGCCAGGACTAGTGTAAAAAATAATACTTGCCTTTTGCTCTTTGGCACTAGTGTTTAAATTGGGCAGGGATGGAAGGGGACTTATTGCTGCCTCTCAGATCTCAAGTCTATCCAAAGTACTATAGATCCTCTACTCCTGTGAGCTGACAGGGTCACAGAAATGCGTAAAATCCAAGGGTACCTTGACAGCATCAACTGTAGAGTTTGTGAGTGGACTCTACAAATTCCATTTTCATTGTTTGTTACTCTTTTCCTTTCAGATTTCTCTGTTGACTTCTGCAGTAAACCACCTCAAAGCCAATGTTAAGTCAGCTGCAGACTTAATTAGCCTGCCTGCCACTGTAGAGGGACTTCAGAAGGTAGGTGCTATGTATGGATAATGAGATTAACCTACTGCTGTAATTCTAGCTTCTTACAAGTTTTCTGTGAAAGCCTGGCTTCTGAAATCAGATGCTTTAAGCGAGCAGTAATAAAATGTATCATTGTGTTCTAAAGAGTTCAGAACAACTTTGTTTTGGTCTGGTTAGTTGGGCATTTAATTTGCAGCAAGTTTCTTTTAAACTACAGTTTCCTCTACTGGGACTCCTATGTTAGCATATATGGGTTTGCTTTTCATCAGTTGCCTTCTCAGTTCATCATTCATGGATGTGAGGGCTATCTGGCTGTGATATCTGTCACCCCATTGATCGCTAGGGTTGATTCAGCTGATCTGGCTGGCTAGGCGGGTGTCCCCTTCCTCCCTCACTGTTCCATGTGCATCCCTCCCGAAGCTGCCTGCTCGGTCAAAGAGAATGACCTTCCCCGATAGAGGAGAGGACCATTCTTCAGTCAGAGGTATACACAAGTAGCTGTGCTCCCCTGCTAGAACCTCCAAATAAGCTCTCAATTCATCATTCATGTTTTCATGAATACTGGCCAATTATACCTGAGAGTTGCTCTAAATCTCTGTTATTTTCCATGGTTAAGAAAGAGTTTTTTTAAAAAGACCTGGGGAAATGCAAAAATTAAAAAGTCAGGAAACAATTAATTGTTGGCATGTGTTGGCACAAACAGATGGTGTGGATATAAAATAACAAGTTTTGGTCCTAATTAGAATATCAGGAACATCATCCCCCATAGGAAATGGAAGAAGTGATTCAGGAGTAAGGGAACCCCAAACAGTGAGTATCAAATCTATGAATTTTGACTTTTAGAAGTTAGTGTGTGATAAGTTTAATTTGATAAAATGCCAGACTCTATAAACATATAAGTCATTTCCACAAATGAATGAGAAATTCCTAAGCCACAAGCAAAAACAAAACTTGCTATTTTATATCCACACCATCTGCGTGTGCTCAATCTCCATAGTTTGCTACTTATTCAGTATAGTCATCTACTTAAAACTTAAAAAAAAAAAAAAAAGGTGGAGACAGCCTTGTTCAGGTCAGATTCTTGCCGTTGTTCCCAAAGGCCAATGGGAAAAAGGCCTCTATAGTAGGCCTCTGTTGTCTTTAGTACAGAAGCAACTCTGGCAGTCTTGAATTAGAAAAGGAAATTGGTTTATTCTTACATTCGTTAATTCAATAAACATTTGTAGAGCTTCCTCTAATATGTAGCAGGCACTTTGCAGTTGGTGGGAATAACAAGTTTCAGAGTTTCACTTCAGAGTTCACGTGGCTGTCAGCTGTTTCCTTTAAAAAAAAAAAAATCCTTAAACAAGAGCTTACTATCTTCTTGTATCCTGATGGGCTCATCATCCAGCCAGCGAGGATTCTTTAACAGTAGTTGTCTTTGAATGCCTGTAGCTTTGGTAACAACAGAGCTTACATACATAACATCCCAGCCTAGACATGCCTACTCAGTGTGTTGTCTCTTTGCAAATCTGTACATTTCTAATGCCAGGTACTGCTTTTCTTACACATGTCTTAGTTTTGAAATGGTAGGTCATCCCAAGTATATATCACTTCCTTGTATCTCATGTAATTTTTTTTAAATGTTGAAGATGTTGTTTCTTGTTTTCTTGGATTCTTGGATATAAATATAATAAAAAAATGACCTTCATTAAAAATACTAATGTGGTGGGCCGGCCCGGTGGCGCACTGCTACAGTGCGCCGCTTGGAAGCGTGGTGGCGCTCCCGCCGAGGGTTTGGATCCCACATACAGACCGGTTCCCGCTCGCTGGCTGAGTGAGGTGCGGGGGCAACACCGAGGGTTGCGATCCTGTTGCCGGTCCCAGTCCGGTACGAGAGCGACACTGAGGGTTGCAATCCATTGCCGGACACGGAAAAAGACAAAAAGGAAAAAAAAAAAAAAATACTAATGTGGGGCCGACCCCGTGGCTCACTCGGGAGAGTGTGGCACTGGGAGCACAGCAGCGCTCCCACCACGGGTTCGGATCCTATATAGGGATGGCCGGTGCACTCACTGGCTGAGCGCAGTGCGGGCAACACCAAGCCAAGGGTTGCGTTCCCCTTACCGGTCACAAAAAAGAAAAAAGAAAAAAAATACTAATGTGATACTCTGAAATTGTCACCATGTCTTAATAAAATGCCTAACCCACCAAATAGTAACACTCTTTTGGATGTTCCCATAGAAGACAAGACTTTCTTAAAAGATGGCTTCTGAATCCTGTATCCAAGTCCTTAGTCCACTTGGGCTCCTTAGGCTTTATGAAAGCAAAGTAAGCTACTACCCACATCTAACTACTCAGTGGTTACTGACAGGATTCTACAGTAAAGGAAGAACAAACGTTGTCAAATGGAATTTTTCCTTCACCTCTACAATGCTGGGTTTCCTAGAGCCAGAAATGGTTCCCACCCATTTTGCTCAAGTCATCATTTGTTCCTGACACAGTGGTAATGTTAGCTCTGACCATCTGCCTGCCTGCAGCAGGGCTTGACAGAGGCAGTTTGTGGGAGAACCTTCTCTGTGGGGTCCCAGATTTATAAACTAATTTCTTTAGGAAAGATTTGATTTTCCTCTAGGAAAAGTTCTTTAAATTGAGAAAATTGCTTAGATATGCATGCATACATACATATACATACACACACAAACACCCACACATATATACATACATACATATGCTTGTGTATATATATTAAGCAATTATATATAGTATGTATATTCCTGTTAATTGTCTCAATATAAGCTACATGGAATTCATAGCTTGAAGAGATTTAAAATAATTAAAAATACTTATCTCCATTAGATCAGTGTTTAATGTAAATTAAAATCACAATATACCAGTATACTTCCATTAGAATGGCTAAAATTGAAAAGACAGTACCAGTATTGGTGAGGATATGGAGTAACAGGAATGCTCATACACTGTAGATGGGAATGTAAAATGGTATAACCATTTTAGAACACAGTTTGACCATTTTTTTAAGGTTAAGCATAGATCAGCCATTCACTTCCCAGGTATTGTGATGATGAGGAAGCATGTGATGAAGGGACTTGTACAGAAATGTTTACAGCAATGTGCTGACTAGGTACAACATGGATGCATCTCAATTACGCTGAGTGAAAGAAGCCATACTAAAAAGAGTACATACTCGCTCACTGGTCCTATTTATATAAAACTCTAGAAAATACAAACTGATGTATAGTGACAGTGGATCAGTGATTGCTTAGAGACAGGGAGGGAGGAATTACAAAGGAGCATGAGGAAATTTTGGGGGGTGATGTTCATTATGTTTATAGAGGTAATGGTTTCACAGGTGTATATATTTCAAAATCAAATTATGCGTTTTGAATATGTGCAGTTTATTGCATGTCAGATATATCTTAATAAAGCTATTAAGAGGGAAAAAAAACACTGCCCTTCCTACATTTTTCCGTTCAGAGTGTAGCTTCCATTGGCAATACTTTAAACAGCGTCCATCTTGCTGTGGAGGCAATACAGAAAACTGTGGATGAACATAAGAAAACCATGGAATTACTGCAGAACGATATGGTAAGGAGATCTGCAAACACTACAGAAAACCAGCATGTTCCTGCTCACCCTTTTTTGTATGAGAGTTGTGATAAAACTTTCCACTGATCTGAACAGGCTCTACTGTGTGCCTGTTTAAAAGATCTAATACACAGTATGTATTCATTGTTCTACAATCATTAAATTAAGCAGTTAAGATAAATAGAATTGAAAGCTGAGTCTTTTGTAAACATGGTGCTGAGGAGATACACTAATAAGACACAGTTCCTGAGAATGGAATGGATAGGAAGGAAAGAGAAGTGGAGACGTTTCTCAGTTATTTACTGCTACATAACAAGCCATCCCAAAACTTTGTGGCTTAAAACAGCAAGTTATTTCTCACTATTCTATGCATCAGGAATTGGGGCAGGGCTCTTAGATTCCCAAGTGCTGGGAGGCCAAGGGAAGAGGCACTGTAGAGGATGAAAGGCCCTCTTGGATGTTCCAGCTCCAGGCAGCTACCAATTGAATGCAGCCATATGTGTGACCTCAGCCTGTACCACATGGAATAGAAAAACCACCCTATCCTCCATCCCCCAGTTGAGTCCAGTCAACCCACAGAATTGAAAAATAATTAATTGTCACTGTTTTAAGCCACAAAGTTTGGGATGATTTGTTATGCAGCAGTAGATAACTGAGACAGAAGCAAACCCCTGTAGTACCCAGGAATTGTTAAGTGTTTCTGGGTCTCTTAATGCTGTTGCAGATGTAAGCTGTCCACAGTCATTCAGAGGCCTTAGCTAATCACTTAGTGGGTAACAGCCCAATAAAGGATTTACGAAGGTTTAAAAAGGATGGCACAGCCCTTGCTGTCTTGCTGAGGAGATGAGTTATATGTACATGAGATCAGGACTATTCAAGGCACACAAAGGTTCCCTAGTCTCTCTACTAATTTCCAAATTTGCCCACCAGCTGTTTCCAAACTTTAGAGTTCTGAGTTAAAACTGGGCAGTTCGTACCAAGGAGACCTGTGCTATGTTAGAGAGCTCTAGAAAGCGAGGTTTTTCATTTTCTTCAGAACCAGTATGCCTCACTGTTATTTAATGGGACTAACCCAGAGGAAAAAGCATTAATCTGGGTGTCCAGACATTTGGATTCTAGTTCCAACTACCACTGAGTAACTGTGCAACCCATCATAATAAAGACCACTCTAACTCAGCAATTCTTTTATTATTATCTTAATATCTTCAGCATGTTCTGAAGTGATTATTTTCTAAAATATGCTTTCCCAACTGAAAAATTGCTGCTTTCTAGAACTTTGGGTTCCCCCCTCCTTTTCTCTTTATTGTTGTCTTCTGTTTCTTATAAAAGCAGGGTTGATAAATGTCTGGGATTTCAGATTTCAAGGAAAATAATTTGTTTTCACCAATTGCATTCCATTATAACTAAATCTGCCTCTTTTAAACATTCATGGCTGCCAATAGTAATCCTCCTGCTGGCATACTTTATACTAAATGAGTCATAGTTATGGGCTCTGAAGGATTAAGCCATGCAGAGTTTTTCCCTGTATAAACATGTTATACTTCGGTCTCTGCCAAGAGAGACTGGACAAGTGGGAAGGGAATGGGAAAGGAAGGGTAATCCTCAAACACAAATCTTGACCTGTGCTATAAGGGAAAAACTAATAATGTGCATGATTGGAGGTTGTACTCAATGCCCAAAGCCAGTGGTTACGTGAGTGGCTGCTCTTTTAATGTCCAAATCTCTTTAGTCCAGTAAAAATGATGACACTATCCCAGGTTTACAGTGAGTTGGTCCCTGGAAAGATATAGTGATTCTGTAGTTACTCTGGGAATACAAGTACTGGGGGAGAGGAAAAATGGTTTCTAGAGAGTTCCATTGGCTGAGAAACAGACTAGAAGGATCTCAGTTCCCTGAAATCACCTGGGTATTGCTGGTCCAGCCCATGCTTCGGGCTAAGCATCCCCAAAGCACATGGTACCCTCAGGTCCTAGCACAGAACTCCTTATACTGTAGGTTCTTGGTAAATACTTGTTGATTAATCTGCAGATGCACCTTGGGAGAGGTTAGAATATTCCAGAACTACCCACATGGTTAAGTAGATCTAGTAATTACTTGCTGCCTACACTAACCTTCATTCCTGTTAATAGAATCAGCACATCTTGAAGGAGGCCACTGGAAGCAACCGGATGATTCCATCGCCTTCAGCTACATTAGAACTTGACAATAAAACCCACAGTGAGAATTTGAAACAGGTACTTTTTGTCCCTGGCCTAATTCCCTGTGATCATGATGGGCTATGGAGGCAGCCTGAGTACTTTGGGCTTAGTGTTGTGGTGCCTCGGCAGGTCCTTCGTGCATTTACTTGCCTTCTTGAGAGCTGAGCAGAGAGAGATGTATGTTGGTATCTTGGGGATCCAAAATGCTGTCCTGTCTTTTCTTTGACACTCTTTTTTCCCTGCATGTCAATCAGTGGAGTAAATTCCTTTCGCATCTTAAAAGACATAGAATGACTAGATTATCCTGAAACTCTTTATGAAAAATAGCAATCTGGGCAAGTTAAAGATAGATGTATAGTAGATGAAACCAGAGTGATGGCTATTTTGAGCCACAGTAACTTCTAAGAATGTTAGAAGCATATCCTTGAATATCAGGATTTTCTGAAATCTAAAGACGAAGGGGCAACGGGGGAAAAGGATATTGAGTTCAGAATCACATTAAAGAGAATAAAGAAAATCTTCACTAAGAAGAATTCCTGTCCTGAGTTTAATGCCCATTAAAACCTATAGTCATCATTCCTTTTTAAGTAGTAATCAGTACTAGAGGATGTCAATAAAAATAATTGAATCTTGTACTAAATAATGCACTACTTGCTATGGTTTTGTTACATGAGCCAATTCAGTAATTGGTATTGTTCCTAAGGTAGTTTTGCTCTGACAAATTAGGTTAATGGGCCTTTCAGTTAATAACCCAGCAAGCTTTCCCACCAGCAGGTGAAGTAAACGTTAGGAAATTAATTCCCAAGCACTCAGCTGTCTGGGACCAGAGAGTAAATCACGTAGATAGTCCTCTTTTCTCTTTCCCCCTCCCGTCTAACTGAGGTCAAACAATTCCCAGAGAGAGTAAACTGGGAGCGATTTAGAGTGGGAGGGATAAAACAGAGACAGACAATTGATGGTCAAAACCAGGGAAAGGAATTTACTTCAGTAACTTGACATAATGGTTGTTCAGGGCCGCTGGCCTGTTTGTTTACTGTATGTCTTTAGTTGGATTCCACAACTTGATTTATTTCTACTTTAGGATATCCTGTATCTTCACAACTCTTTAGAGGAGGTAAACAGTGCCCTAGTGGGGTACCAGAGACAGAATGATCTTAAACTCGAGGGGATGAATGAGACAGTCAGTAATCTTACCCAGAGAGTCAACCTGATAGAAAGCGAAGTGGTTGCTATGAGCAAGGTAGAAAAGAGAGCAAACCTGTCCTTCAGCATGGTAAGCCTTTTCACATCTTTTGAGGCATGTTCTGTGTTGCACTGTGTTCTGTCTGTACATGGATGACATTCCACAGCCTTTTGAAGACAGTCTTCTGGGATATTTGAGAGGCTACACATTTGTATTCTGCTTAATCCGTGCCTCCTTTAATCCTCACACTAGCTCTGTGATATGAATGGCACAGGCAGTGTTAGTCATGATTGGTAAAGGGAGATGTGGAGAGGTCAAGTCACTTACCAAGGCCTCACCACAAGTTGTCAGCAGAGATGACAAGCCTCCTATTATGTTACCAGTGACCCATCTGGTAGGGAAGCTCTGGCATGTATTTCCAAGGGAGGTCGTCTCGATCTTTTCTTTTTTAAGTTAAAGATGGGAGCAATGACAGTGATAGTAACCAAAAATGTTTCACCATTTCTTTAAGCCTGAACTTGGCTTTCAGATTTATTCTTCTTTTGTCTGCATATTTAAGATTTATTCTGCTTCTGTCTGCATTCTTTTCCATGTAAAGTCAGGAAAGCCATTTAAAACAGACCAGATCAGATCAGCTCCTCAACGTAAGAGGGCATTGAATCCAGGCTCCCATTTTACACATAAGGAAACTGAGTGACCTACTAAGTCACTGATGCTGGCAGACCTTGCTATGTACTGGTTTTCTTGTCATCATGAATAAAATGTGTTTTTTTAACATCACCTTTCACATATACGTTGTGCTGGGGTCCATATGGATTATTTTTTAATAACTGTAGGCCTCACCCTTAAAGATTTCATACAGCAAAGACACAGACATATATTTTTTTTAAAAAAAAGGAAACCAAATACAGGAAATTTTACTACAAATTCGAGTAACCACCAAAGCTGGAAGCAAGCCCACAAATAAAGTGAAGTCAAACTCTGGCTCATGGAAAGCAGTGTTTGAGCTGGCTCTGCCACAGTGGAGCCTTGGCAAGGTGCCTGGACTTGGCTTTGAAGAGTTGAGTAGGAAGACCTGTTTCCCCTCCTGCTTTACAGGGGTGTGTAACTTACTACAAAGCTGTGAAGATTAAAGGAGTCTTATTTTAAACCCCCCTTTTAAACTCAGTTAAACTAAGTAGGGGCTAGGAATTTCGGATGATTTGATGAATATTACTCCTTGAAGGTTTTCAAGGCTTATTCTGAAAACTCACCACTCCCAAACTCCCCTTACTGTTTCTGCTTTCCCCACTTTATTTTCCTCTAGCAGAGAAAATTGGTAATAGTATCTATCTGTCCTACTGTTTCTTTCAACAGCATCATACCCAGTATGGTTCTGGGTAAAAAGTTCTATCACCTTTTTTACCTCAAAGTTTTAAAGTTTGTGACTAAAACAACTAGAAGCATCAGTTTCAGCTTTGTCTCTTTGTGGCCTTTCTCCCTCTCTCTTCCCATTCTCCCACTCCTCTGATATTTTTGTTGAAAGTATTCTGAGACTTTTTAAATAAGTTTGGCCAATTTGTTTAAAAAGTGCTAGCTGTTTTTCAAATTTTAATGTTTGCCTTTAACCTTCTCTTGTTCTTTTGCCTTTTAAGATGGGTGACAGAGCTGCCACTCTGAAAAGAGAGTCATTGGATCAAGTGACCAACAGAACAGATACAGTAAAAACCCAAAGCATTAAGGTAAATAATAGGTGCTTTACCCTGAAGTAAAAATAACTGGCATCATCATCTCTGTGCTTTTGACCTACAGCTTCTTCTCAAAAGGAGCACTTTGGTCTCATGTGCTGAAACTTCAAGACAAAGCAATTAGTAAATTAGTGTGTTAGTGAATAAATGAATACTTTATCAGGTACCTACACTGTGCCAAGCATTTTGCCAGGAGTTGAGATGACCACAGTGAGGAGAATAGGAGAACAGACCCGTGACCCCTATTCTGGTGGAGCTCAGAGCCATCAGAATATCAGCCATATAATTGAACAGATAATTGCAACTATGATAAGTTCTACAAAGGAAAAGTATAGGGTATGATGAGGTTGTTAACGGACATCATGAAGGCTTCCCTAAGGAAATGACTTTTAAGCTAAGACAGTATGTTATTTGTATTAATGATGGAGGACAGAAGCATAGATGATTTAAAAGTGGTACCTAACCTAAAAATTATTTCCTATTTTTAGATTGTAATCTCAATACATTCAGAGTCCGTTTAAGCCTCAGCCAGTTTTCTTCACCTTATCTTCCCCTTTTTTGTTCTTCCCATACATATTGTCAAGATAAGACAAGCAATCTGTGATATGCTTTGATATCCCACGAAAGTTTGATTACAATATTCTCTAATTAGTGTTGTTAATATTGTAAGCTGTGGGATAAGATAAAGGAAGAGCCAGGAAGATTGTCACTGAGTGACTAAAATATAATCTCAGATGCACGTTATGTTTGAGAAGTTCAGAGGATATGAGGTTCAGAGGAAATGGACTGGAGGGCTGAAATGGTTCAGAGGACTGGAGCCATGGTACAAGCAGCTTTTGATGTAATGCTTTCCATCTTTATTTTTTCATTCTTAACAGTTTTGTGTTGTCTAGGTAGTCACATATATTAAGGTTTTAATGCCTTATAAGCTAGGCTTTTGTTGAGTTTTCTAACTGCTTTTGCAAAAAAAAATTTTTAAACCACACCTAGAGAATGACAAGAAAAATTTAAGAGCCAGAGATAAATGTTGAGCACAAAAGAATAACAAGTGGTTACTACTAGAAAGTAGTAGTGACTTCAGCTACAGTTCACATTTTAACAATAAATATCAGAATACAGGCCTGGTATAAATTTTTGCCTAAATGTCTTGGCTTTACTTTCAGACCTTTTGTATTTTTCACTGTCTTCCCAATGAATAAGTCTCTTTGTCCTACCTCATCTGAGTATCCTAACCAGATATAATCTCTCCTTTCCATTAATTCCTCAAATGCTTAGTACCTGGTTTTCAATACATAGACCCATATTTTAACTCCCTAAATAAACCAAGAGTGATCTACTATATAGTAGCTATTAGGGTAGAAATAAAGGTAGGAGAGAGATGGGTAAACACATACTGAATAAAAGAAATTTGTGATGCATTGATGTCCTAATTAAACGTAGGATCAAGACCTTTCACCTCAAACAGTTAGAACTAGTTTCATAGAAACCAGACTTCTCTTTTTTTATAATTAAATGTAATGTAAAATTTGTATACCACCCAAGATCCTCCTGGGAATGAGGCAGGGTATGGGGAGAAAACTTTTTTAAAAATATAAGCAAATAAGGCTTTGAATTAGAAATATTATAGCTCCTTATTCATGTTTGTAACAGTTCTTGCCACTAGCCGAATTATCACCGTGGGAACAGACAAGATCGGGGGAATACTTGTAGTTTGTTTCTGTTCAGTTCCTTTTTTTCTAAGGCGGTCAGAGCACAAAACTGCCTAAAGTGGCCTAGTCACAGGGTGATGTAAAATATTCAGGAAAGTTATTTAGTTAGTGTGAAATAGCTATGAGAAAACAATATTCTGCTCATTTAGGAAATGGGTGTTGCATAGACACCTGAGCAAGGGTACATCTCCTTTTTACTGCTGACACATGCATACGTTCCCCCATCAGCCAAATGTTCACAGTGAATCAGATCATCTGTAGCATAATGTTCCCTTAATGGTCTAGTCTCAAATCCAGCTAGACACTCATCAACACTGAGTACCAAAGATTTCTCTAGTATTTGTTGATTCATTCCTTCGTTGCCTTTTAGGGAATCTATTGAGGGTCAAGCACTACATGCTAAATATGCTCTGGGAATATAGTGGAGACTCAGATGAGGTCTTACCTCTACCTTAAACTTTCTGTGATCTTTGTTTTGGGCAGAAAGAAGATAATTCAAATTCTCAGGTATCCAAGCTAAGAGAGAAACTGCAGCTGATCAGTGCTCTTGCAAACAAACCCGAGAGCAGCAGGCCTCCAGAGACCGCCAGTGAAGGTGAGAGCAGGGTTGGCTTCTGAATATTTCACACAGGCTTGGGCAGCTTGCCTCCCACACAAGGAGTGGGGAAGTTGTTGCAGCAGTACTGATCGAACCAAGTGAGTGATGCCTGAGTGCACTGAGATGAAGCTGATACACTTTGCTTTCATTTAGAAAAAGTCCATTTTGTACATGATTTGTACTCTAGTCTATTAAGGGAGGAATGGGTAATGTTTAGCCAGAAATAGACTTCTCCATGCTGTCTGCATCCAATTATAGGCAAAAACGTTACTGTCATAGCATCTGTTAAACCAGCCCTAAATGTTTTTCGTGGGAATCTTTTCATTTCTGCAAGTTCATAAGATTTACTTAAAAATAAATATTAGTCCTTCTGAAAATCATTAACAAATAATGATGGGATCATTGAACTGGAAGTGCCCTTGGCTTTAGGTAGGGATATACCTACTCAATATTAGTGGATGCATCAATCTCCACTGATTTAGGCTCTGTGAGGATGTAACCGAAGCACTGGTCTGTGTTGGCTTTGACCCTCTCCCCTGCAAGTACTTTTCAGTTTTGGAAAAGCGATACAACCTCTTTTGGATTCTCTCTGGGTGAGAGGCCTTGTCCTAACATTGTGCTACGTAATGTCATGGTAGCACTCTTTTAGCACCAGCTTGGCTGGTGGTACATAACCCCAGACCAGGCATATGCACTTCTCCCAGGATGTCAGAAGATCTTTAATAATCAACCACTATGCTGTTTTCAGATGGCAGCTTAACTGTGTAATGCTAACTTGTACTATAAGATCTTCCAGCCCACAAGCATATCTGAATCCAAGGCTTGAACTTCACAGTCACTATGCTACTTAATTCTCAGCTATTTCTCTTAAGTACATATTCAGTTGCCCTACGAGGTGATTTTTAAATCCTAGTTTAATTTGGTGTTAGATTTGATCATATATGCATGTGTTTGTTACAGACCAAGTACAGAGTTTCACAGCAAAGCCATCAGCATTGCCAAAATTTTCACAGTCTCTTGGAGACCACATTGAGAAAGCTGCACAACTAAGGCCTATCTCCTTACAGGGAATCTCTAACATTGAAGGTAAATTTTTATACCTGGGGTAATGGCAGAAATGTTCAAAGTAATAACTTTCTAATGGTTTTCTAATTTGTACAAAAAAAAAATTATATCTAACATTTATTGAGCGCTTTCTATGGGCCTGATACTTGATATGAATTATGAGTTATGTGATATAATCCTGATAACTATCCTGTGAAGGTTAAATATTCATGTATTGAACCCATTCTACTGATGGGGAAACAGCCTAAATCCACACAGCAAAAAATTGGTGAGGCAGAATTCAAACCGAGGCTGTGCAACACCAAAGCTTGCACACTTAACCACCATACTATGTTGTCTCTTTATTATTGTTTTTTAGGGTCTTCATTCATTCACTGAGTGCCTTATTAGACCCAGTACTAAGCAGTAAGAATACAATATAAAATACAGTCTCACTTCATTACCTCAAGGATATTAAAGTCTAGTGAAGAAAGCATAAAAGCAAATCCATACTGCAAGATTAGCAAAATACAGTAAAAGTTGACCCTGTTTGTCAGTACCCTCCAAAAATGAGGGACCCTGTTGCTGAAAATCAGCAAAATAAACATTATTAGGAAGGATATGAATCACAGAAAAATGTGTTTGCCTTGCTTTAACAGTGTATTTTCTATCCCTCATTGTTACATTTAGAAACTCCTTATTTTGCATTTGCTAATAACCGCATGGAAAAACACCCATTTTAGGCCACCTATCTTTCTCCCGCTCTTCACTTTAGTTTAGATGTCATTCCACCAGGAAATATTTCCTTACCTTCCAGGCCTGGATTAGTCTCTTTCTGTGCGCTCTTGTATTTTGTATTTGTTTAACACATAGCACTCTGTTGTAATTTCCTGGGGAGACACAAAGTTTAACTTCCTGTGGACAAGGATTGTGTCTTGTTCACTCCTAGCCTCTAATACAGTGCCTGGTACACGTGAGTATTTGTCAAATGCATTAATGAGTTATCTACATGCTGCAATTAATGCTTAAAGCATAGAAGACTTAAAAATTTATATCACCATTTAAATGCGATTAGAAAGTTATTTCTAAGCCATTTTAGAAAGTTATTTTTTCTAAACCATTAGAAAGTTATTTTTTTTCCTCTATCCCTGATTTTTTTTTTTTTTTTCTTTTCATTTTCTTGGGAGGAGGGAGAGTGTTAAGTTGTGTTTAATGACATTACAAGTTGCCTCCCACTCTTCATTATTACATCAAAAATTGATGAGAATAAATGGAGAAAAGACTGTTGTATCAGATTAAAGAATAGCAGTCTTAACATTTGTACTTCAATCCTCAACACAGGCCTTAGACACTTTTGAATGACTACTCTATTGAAATCACGTGAAGCAGCAACCATACTTTTATTGGAATGTTGCTGCCGAGTGCATAGCATGTTATATAAACTCGTGCCACAAAAAATAAAAAAATTTTCTAGCTAACCACTTGGTGGCAGGCATTAGGAACAAATGTCCTACCGTCTTTTCTGGCTTTCAGAGACCTTTTGAGATTTTATTAGCTGCATTGCTGGGCATATCATAGGAGCAAGAGTAGGGCTGTATCCAGAATCTTGTATACAAGAACTTCTTGATGGACTGGGCCTTGCTCTGCAACTGTTTTCTCTCCCTTCAGGCTATTTTCATTCTTCCTGAGTGCCACACAGCAAGATGCCTGTGGATCTAGGTGTGGTGTTGAATAAATGAAGAAAAGAAAGGAATTTAGGAAGATTTTTAAAGAAACATAAGCCCCATTGACCTTCTTCAGTATTAGAGACTAACTGTTCTATTTGATTGTGGGGACACAATCAAGTCCTTTTTAAATATTATGTAAATAATCAGTCCCCCTAAAGTGTTTATTATGGGGCACTTGAGAAAATACCAGAAGAAATTATTGATAGAAATCCTCCAATCCTGTTGGCTGAAATAATACCTTAGACATAAAAAAAAAAAATAAGATACAGATCAACTGGTAGTATTTCCCTCTTATCTAGGAAAAATGGAGAGAGGGACTATGCTTTGAAGATACATATAATCCTCTAGTTTTGTTTTCTTTTCAATTGAGATATAATTCACATACTATAACATTCACCCTTTTAAAATGTATAATTCATTGATTTGTAGTATATTCACAAGGTTATGCAACCATCACCATTGTCTAATTACAGAACATTTTCATCACCCCAAAAGGAATCTCTGTACCCATTAAAATCCCCAGTTCCTCTTCCCCCCAGCTCCTGGCAACCACCAGTCAATCACTATCTCTATTGATGAGCCTATTGGGATGTTTCATATAACTAGAATCACACAATATGTGGCCATGTATGTGCTTCTTTCTTTCAGTATGCTTTTTTCCTTTAGCTTAATCTTTTCATGGTCTATTCATGTTGTAGTATGTAGCAATACTTCATTCTTTTTTATGGCTGAATAATAATCCATTGTATAGACATACCACATTTTGTTCATCCATTCATCAATTGATGTACATTTGGGTTGTTTCCACTTTTTGGCTACTAGGAGTGATGCTGCTATGAACAATCGTGTACAGGTTCTTATGTAGACGTATGTGTTTATTCTCTTGAGTATATACCTAGAAATGGAATTGCTGAGTTATATAACTCTTAACTTTTTTTTTTTTTTATTTTGTCAATATACACTGTATATGATTATTATGGCCCGTCACCGACACCTCCCTCCCTCCTCCCTCTCTCCCCTCCCCCGCAAGAATGTCCTTTCCATTTGCTTGTTGTAACAACTTCATAAAAGTATAGTTGTT